AATTATCAATAATCTCTAATCATACATGATTTTTTCAAAAAGTAGGAAATGAAAAAAAGACAGCCCAAAAGCCGACCATTGTTAACTGCTCTCGAGAGAAATGCGTTATTGTTATTTCGGCATAAATCATAACCTTCTAAGACCTATTAGATCACAAAACAAACATAGATCAGACATCCAAGGAAGAAAATCATGAGTCTCGACAAGGCTTCAAAAGAAACAGCGAATCACATAGCTACATCAAAACAAAACATCTCAAAAATCCAATTATCAATAACCTCTAATCATTTACGAGTTTTAATGAAAAAAGTAGGAATTGAATGAAAAGACAATCCAATAGCCGACCAGTGTTAACTGCTCTCGAAAGAATAGCATCATTGTCACTTCAGTATATATCATAGACTTTAAAAGAACGTTGCATCATAGAAACAAACATAGATCAGACATCCAAGGAAGAAAATCATGAGTCTCGACAAGGCTTCAATAGAAACCGCGATTGTTCTCTCATCACATAGCTACATCAAAACAAAACATCTCGAAAATCCAATTATCAATAACCTCTAATCATATACGATTTTTAAAGAAAAAAGTAGGAATTGAATGAAAAGACAGCCCAAAAGCCGACCATTGTTAATTGCTCTCAAAAGAATAGCATCATTGTCACTTCAGTATATATCAAAGACTTTAAAAGAGCATTCCATCATAGAAATAAATATTGATCAGACATCCAAGGAAGAAAATCATGAGTCTCGACAAGGCTTCAATAGAAACCGCGATTGTTCTCTCATCACATAGCTACATCAAAACAGAACATCTCGAAAATCCAATTATCAATAACCTCTAATCATATACGATTTTGAAAGAAAAAAGTAGGAATTGAATGAAAAGACAGCCCAAAAGCCGACCATTGTTAACTGCTCTCAAAAGAATAGCATCATTGTCACTTCAGTATATATCAAAGACTTTAAAAGAACGTTGCATCATAGAAACAAACATAGATCAGACATCCAAGGAAGAAAAACATGAGTCTCGACAAGGCTTCAATTGAAACCGCGATTGTTCCCTCATCACATAGCTACTTCAAAACAAAACACTTAGAACATCCAATTATCAATAACCTCTAATCATATACTATTTTCAATGAATAAAATGAGAAATTTAATGAAAAGACAGCCCAATAGCCCATAAGTGTTAACTGCTCTCGAAAGAATAGCATCATTGTCACTTCAGTATATATCATAGACTTTAAAAGAACGTTGCATCATAGAAACAAACATAGATCAGACATCCAAGGAAGAAAAACATGAGTCTCGACAAGCCTTCAATTGAAACCGCGATTGTTCTCTCATCACATAGCTACATCAAAACCAAACATTTAAAATACCCAAATTATCAATAATCTCTAATCATACACGATTTTTTAAAGAAAAAAAGTAGGAAATGAACAAAAAGACAGCCCAAAAGCCGACCATTGTTAACTGCTCTCGAGAGAAATGCGTTATTGTTATTTCGGCATAGATCATACTCTTCTAAGACCTAATAGATCACAAAGCAAACATAGATCAGACATCCAAGGAAGAAAATCATGAGTCTCGACAAGACTTCAAAAGAAACCGCGACTGTTTTCTCATCACATAGCTACATCAAAACAAAACATCTCGAAAATCCAATTATCAATAACCTCTAATCATGTACGATTTTTAATGAAAAAAGTAGGAATTGAATGAAAAGACAATCCAATAGCCGACCAGTGTTAACTGCTCTCGAAAGATTAGCATCATTGTCACTTCAGTATATATCATAGACTTTAAAAGAGCATTCCATCATAGAAACAAAATATTCATCAGCCATCCAAGGAAGAAAATCATGAGTCTCGACAAGGCTTCAATAGAAACCGCGATTGTTCTCTCATCAGATAACTACATCAAATTAAAACATCTAAAAAATACATTATCAATAACCTCTCATCATGCATGTTTTTTTAAGGAAAAAAGCTACGGATTGTACAAGACAACCCAGTAGGCAACTAGTGTTAACTTCTCTCGAGAGCATAGCATCAGGGTAATTCGGCACAGATCATAATCTTCTAACACCTATTAGATCACAAAACAAACATAGATCAGACATCCAAGGAAGAAAATCATGAGTCTGGAAAAGCTTCAATAGAAACCGCGATTGTTCTCTCATCACATAGCTACATCAAAACAAAAAATCTCGAAAATCCAATTATCAATAACCTCTAATCATATACGATTTTTAATGAAAAAAGTAGGAATTGAATGAAAAGACAGCCCAAAAGCCGACCATTGTTAACTGCTCTCGAAAGAATAGCATCATTGTCACTTCAGTATATATCATAGACTTTAAAAGAAGGTTGAATCATAGATACAAACATAGATCAGACATCCAAGGAAGAAAATCACGAGTCTCGACAAGGCTTCAATAGAAACCGCGATTGTTCTCTCATCACATAGCTACATCAAAACCAAACATTTAAAATACACAATTATCAATGATCTCTAATCCTACACGATTTTTTAAAGAGAAAAAGTAGGAAATGAACAAAAAGACAGCCCAAAAGCCGACCATTATTAACTGCTCTCGAGAGAAATGCGTTATTGTTATTTCGGCATAGATCATACTCTTCTAAGACCTATTAGATCACAAAGCAAACATAGATCAGACATCCAAGGAAGAAAATCATGAGTCTCGACAAGGCTTCAATAGAAACCGCGATTGTTCTCTCATCACATAGCTACATCAAAACAAAACATCTCGAAAATCCAATTATCAATAACCTCTAATCATATACGATTTTTAATGAAAAAAGTAGGAATTGAATGAAAAGACAATCCAATAGCCGACCAGTGTTAACTGCTCTCGAAAGAATAGCATCATTGTCACTTCAGTATATATCATAGACTTTAAGAGAGCATTCCATCATAGAAACAAAATATTGATCAGACATCCAAGGAAGAAAATCATGAGTCTCGACAAGGCTTCAATAGAAACCGCGATTGTTCTCTCATCTTATAGCTACATCAAAACAAAATATACATTATCAAAAACCTCTCATCATGCATGTTTTTTAAAGCAAAAAAGATACAAACTGCACAAGACAACCCAGTAGGCGAGCATAATAATCGCATCTGTATAGTCCTGCACATTAACCGACACAGCAAAAAAAAATCAAATAAATCATCAAAAAAAACGAAACCAAAATTCCCAAAAAACCTAAGACTCAATTACCTCTACCGATATGGCTTTAGAAATGGATGACAGAAACTAATAAGGAAGCTGAACATTTGAAAAAAGTCCGTCTATTTTTAGCATTCTAAACGATCCTGAGGGGCGCATAAAAATTATGTTTCCGTTGAAACTACTTAGGTCACTAAACAGATAAAATATATGCCGAAATCAATTGGGCAGAACAAACTTTTTCAGTGAAAAAAAAACTAGTTTAGACAAAAGCGCAGTCAAGTTTGGTAAAAATTATAAACAGTACAAGTATATCAAAACTTAGCCAATCGAAGATTGGAAAAGAGTAATGAACGCAAGTAAGCATTAAAAAAACACTGACAGTCTAAAAAACTCAACTTTTGAATTTCAAACGAAAAATCAGACGCCCTGTCAGATCTTTGAATTTCTAGAACGACTTATAACTGGCGCTTTTTTACATTAACTTAACTTGAGAAAATTGGATCTAAAAATTAAATTCCTCTTTCAAATTTTTTGCGCCATTTCCATTTTATTTGGAGATCCCTAATTACGTCACTTTTAGCCGATGAATTTCAAAGTGCATTTATACCGACACAGCAAAAGAATGGAAGACAGCAATTCTTAAACACCTCAAACAACAACTATGTAAATTGTAAACAGCAAAAAAAAAACAGTCGTATGATGTAATAATTAAGCCGAAAAAACTTTGGCAGAAAATAATGGGCCGACAATTCAAACCATGACAATTCCGGCTTGAAAAAAGGCCCTGGTCAGATTCGTACCCAGGTCCTTTACCGTGTCAGGGGTACCTCTTACCCCTGAGTGTGCCAGAGGCGCAAGGAAACTTGAACTCTGATCTGAACCTGATTCAACCATTGCGAAATAAAAATAAAAAACTTTTGAAAATTTTCCAGAGCCAAGCTAACCTTCACATCACTACCGTTCCAATGCAAACACAGCATTGCAAGCTAGCGAATAGAATATGAGACCAAAAGAACAAAATCGAAATGATACGTTTTGGAAAATGAAAATTATTCCAGAAAAAGACGAAAACCACAATCACCAGTATAAAAAAAGCTTATCGAGCGGTACCTAAGCCGACAACCAGTGAGTAGACGCCCATTGAGCCGAAAACAAAAAAATGCAATCAGAAATTGTGGTCATTAAAAATTTTGAGCAATTATGTTTTAAAATATTGCAATAGAAACTACTTGAAATTTTCAAAAAAAAACACGAATTTTGTTTTGCCTTTGAAGCGACACAAAAAAAAGGTAATTAAGCCTGAAACGATTTAGGCTAAATAAAGCTTTGAAGAAAAAAAAGGAAAAAATACAACGAAGAGATGTTAATTTTACAAATTACAGGAGTAAACCAAAAACGCTTCCATCTACGATTAAAACTGCTGACAGCGCAAGAAAAAATTCCCCGATGTGGCAACTGAGCCAAAAAAACGTAATCAGATAATTTAAATGCAACAATTTAGTTTTTCCCGGAAAACAATTTCAAACATACTGAAAAAACAAGGTCGGGCTGGGACTCAAACACTAGACCTCAGGGTACAAAGGCATCGCGTTACCTCTAGGCCAAGTGGGAAACGTCTCGAAGATGCTAAGGGCTAAGTTCCTAAACCCCTGGAAAAATAGTCTAGTTCCTGATTACAAGACACTCGCTCTCGTAAGTGTAAATTCATCGACTCTTAATCAAAGAAAACTTTCGGCAAGAAGAACAAGCGAACAACAATGTACTTCAGGTAAACTGATGATAATACTGTTTGCACTTACCTGCACGACTGGAAGCAAGAAATCTGACAATTGCCTCGACAAATCTTGATGATATTTTGTCTGGTTTCCGCTTGTCTGTCGCGTCACGGGGTTTGCGATACCCATGCTCAGCAACACAGATTTGAACTCAGCTGTCTCATCTGCATTAATAGCTCCTTGTCCGTCTTTGATTTTCTCAGCTAATTTTGAAGACAACTTGACCATTTCTTGGGCGCTGGACATCAGTTTCTCTATGTCCGCAAACGCTGCCTAAACACTACATGAGCTTCATTATCAAATAAACATTCTTACGACTGTACTGAACAAAGTAAATTAAAAGGACAAAGTTCACGAAATACTAACAGAAAAAAGGCTCGCTTCAATCGAAATATTTCTTTTTAGGTATAAAACATAACCAACAGACAGTCAATGAACAGGAAAAAAACAGAACAAAATACTGACCTGTTTTTTTTGCAAAACATTTATATTAAATTTCCAAGCAAAAGTAAAAGGCCTTATAGCTCTCAAATGACCTTTTAATAGACCTTTTATGATTGACACTTTTAAATAAACCAGTTAGAGAAACCTGGGTTGATAGGTAAATAAAATATCTCAGCGGACCCCGACGCACACAGTGCGTCCCGTAGCTTATCCTAGCCATGCTGAGATGAGTCGGATACTCTTGCTACCTGGTCACTTAAAGGGAGCGTGTAGTGCATACGACATCCCACCTTACGTGACCAGCTTGGATCCTATAGGGGCACCACTCCTATTCAATCCCACTCGTTGGCCCAGGGTCATCATAGATAACCCACAGGGATAACTTAAAAGGTCTCTGGCTTAGACCGAGGTCTTTGGCTTAGACCGATGAGCATAGCTCATGCACTACTTGGGCAGGAATCTCGTATCGCCAGCTTTCTTTCCCCTACTAACAGACAGCTAGGAAAAACCGATAACCCGCTGTCAGTATTCGGGTCCATACTAACCGGCAACTTAAGATCCTTTAACAATCGCCGGTAACTATAGAACATAGCTACCGCTTTGAGGGAAGAGTATCCCTAAAACTCCTTTAAACAGAAGGGGATTTACACGACTATGCAAGTCGTGTAAAACTGGGTTGATAGGTAAATAAAATATCTCAGCGGACCCCGACGCACACAGTTGATAGGTAATTTTTTTGACTCCACTTTCAAATTTAAAAAATAATATCCCGTTTCAAAATTATTAGATCACATTTTTGGTGACCTTTACATTGAACTGAAATGAAGTGAAGTTAAAAAGAAATCAAAATCCAAACCGCGAAAAATCGAATTTGAGCGTCAAGACTTTTTCTTGAAAAAAGAAAAGTCACATCAACTTATACAAGATACTTCACTACCTTCATTGACTTTCAAAAAACTTCCGCCTATCAGATAAAAATTTCATTTATTTGTAGTATCTTTGGTGAAATTAGACATATAGAGCGCATATATATTGTAGAGAAAAAATCTCCAAAAAACGACGAGTCAAAACCAAATCAAGAACACACAAAAATCACAAAAACAGCCAAGAACAACGATCATTGGCTGCTGTTCCGACAAGACTTATTATTTCAAAAGTTAACATAGCCAAAAGACAGTTAAAAAAAGAGCCGATGCACGCAAGGAAACAGAATAAAAACTGACCTGTCTTTCGAACTTCAAAGAAAAACTTATATGACCGTACAGCAAATTGAATTTCTAAAACAATTTATGGACGACACTTTTTTGATTAAACTAACCCAATTTTTGTACTTAAAAGCCTACCATTTTTCCTGACCTTTACACTTTCCTTGTTCGATATTGGATTTTGCCTTCTTTTTAACAAAGTAAATTAATTCAACTCAAAAATACTGAGTCGAAGCACATATTTGTTTTAGAATTTCTTGAAAAATCATCGCGAACTAAATAGAAGTCTAATTAGGTTCATCGAATCTTTGAAAGGGTCGAATCAGATCTTTACATCATTTCGAAGCAAAACTTAACTCATGTTTTGGAGAAAAGAGAGCCTTGCCAACTGTAATAAATCCGCAAAAAGACAGAACGTTTCAATAATTATAATTTAACGTCAGTCTAATCGAAATTATCTGTAAGCTAAAAGATATCCAACAAGTTATATAAAACAGGAGGGAAGCTGCAACTTCGCAAAAACGAGCAAGAAAGCGGCAAAAGTGAGCTTTTAATTGCGCAAAAACACTAACTTTATTTCAATCCAAATTTTTTGATACAAAATTCAGCGTTAAAATTAGTGTTCTGTTGTCGGCTCAAACAGGTTTCGACCAAAAAATTTGCTTTTCAGATTTTTTTTTTGCATCGCAAGTGTTGCAAGGCTTCGCTTTTAAGTAAAAATTACTTTTCAAATATTTGTGAAGCAATTAAATGTATGAATTTAGAAAAACATAATTTGCACACAATTTGCTTTTCGTTTCATTTTATGAAATCCAAATTTAGTGTGGTTGCTCTTAGTTTATTTCATTCTAAATTTTTTGATACAAAATTCAGCGTTAAACTAAGAGCAACCACGCTAAACTCTGATTTCATAAAATGAAACGAAAAGCAAATTGTATGCAAATTATGTTTTTCTAAATTTATACATTTAATTGCTTCACAAATATTTGAAAAGTAATTTTTACACAGAAGCGAAGCGGAGCTTTGCAACACTTGCGATGCAAAAGAAATCTGAAAATGAAAAAAAAATTGAAATATAAACTTGAAAAGTTGAAAAAGAAAAAGCTACAAAAATTTCATGTTGTATAGAAAGAAGTTCATAAACAGCCTTCAAAAATTGAAAATCAATGAGCAAGCGTCAGCAAATTTTTTGGTCGAAACCTGTTTGAGCCAAAAACAAAACTGTTGTCATAAAAAATCTTCAATAATTTTTAAAAAATTATACTACCCATCCAATCTGAAACACATACCCGCATGCGAATATATATGCCCTCGAAGTGATACAATAAAAGTTGACTGAGCCGATACAACAAACTGAAATTGTATAAAAACTATAAATATTTCAAAAAGAAACAAAAAATGAAAATAACAATAACAGACTGGGTAAATTTACAAATTACTGGACTGTCAGTTGTAGTAAACAACTGTTTAAAATGTAACAAAACACATGTGCAAAAAAGTAAACCATAAAAACCTTAACAGATAAAAAGAGAGCGTTTCAAAAAAAAAACGGAAATGAACCGACAGAAACTAGGACGAAAACAATAGACCCGAAAAAAAAATTGAGAAATTTTCTGAAGAAATAACTACAACCTGAAACGGGCTTCAGCTAAGCACTACTTAAACTATAGTAATTTCATTTGAATTTTCGTGAAATCGAGCATGTCAGAAGATGAAGGAGTCCAGGAGATATGAAATGAACCCTGTGAACAAAAATGTTCACGAAAAAAGTCTAGTACCCGATTGCAATAACCTTGCTTATCAAGCACAATGCTTGTTTTTGTTCATTTGATGAATTCAAAATGCATCAACTGATTTAATTTATTATTAACGCCGAGCTTGTGTAACAAAAGACTTTCAGGAACATAAGACAGCTGACAGTTTGAAGTGTTAGTTCACTAAAAAAACGAAAACAAACCATATTTCTTTTAAGTTTCGCAAAGAAAAACGTCGCAAAAAATAGCTTTTCGTAACTTGAGAATCTTTTATGATTGATTATTTTATGATAAATACCAGCCTATGACTTTATAAACTGATTTTATGAAAATAAACTCAGCTAACAGAAAATTCAGATATCAGCGAACAGATATCTCAAACTGAAAGAAACCAAAAAATGCCACCGCTCAGAACTTCTTAAATGAATTGAATGCTTTCTGAATCTCATGAATCTTTATGAATGACATTATGCTCATGAAACTAACCCATTTAGAAAAAAACCCGGCCAGATGTTTTTTTTATTCCGCTGGGATTAACGAAAACACAGCTCTATTCGATACTTCAAACTATATTCCACAGATAAAATAATTACACAGGGACGAACGGAAATTGGCGTCACTTGCGATACCGTACAAACATAACAATGCAAACTAGTAAACAGAAAACGAACAGGGTGCAACGAAATAAAGAAAAAACAATTTCTAAAATTATATATGACGTTCGAATTGAGGAATTGACGTGCGAAAATTTTATCGAAGAGGCATCTAAGCCGACAAAGGTTGAAAATCCGTTGAGCCGAAAAATTGTTTTCATGAAAGACTTCGAAAAATTCGGAATTTTTATGCCACCCCAGCAGAAAGACACAACAGGATAGAAAATCTATTTTTCTCTTCATTAAAATTAAAAAAAAAACGATAAGACAAGTCCAAGCAATTGAGCCCAAATTAAGCCTGTAACAGAAACGAAGTTACAAACAAGATTTGTAAGTTTTCAAACTAATTATAGGAATAAATCAGAAACACATTCAAAAACAAGAAATATTTTGACAGCACAAAAAATGTGATCTGGCAACACAAATATTAGCAGAAAATCTTTTTTGATACAGAATATTGACTGGTTAATAAAGAAAACAGGTCCTGGCCTGATTTGAAACTTAGCTTTTTGCTGCCCCATGCGTCGTCGGTGCCGCCAAGCAAAATAGGTTTGTTTTCCTTTAAGCTAAATTGTTTTCCTGTAAGCGAAATAATATGAATTGAACTTAATCATAAAACAAACTGCCAATTAAATGTGATATAGAACAGAGGGTGGGAAAAGAGTAAATTAATAAACCAAAAAAGGTAAAATTTAGGAATTTCTTTCAGGTTTCGAAGAATAAAAATTATCACACTAAAGCTCTTTGAGTTATGGAGTTATTATGGAAAGGCACTTTTTTCTTAAAAGAATCCCACTACGATAAGAACTGAAACCAAAAAGTGTTTATCATTCCTCTGGGAATTCAGAAGAAAAATTCCATTTTTGAAACTGGAAGTCTTTCGCGCTTTTTGATTTTCAAAAGTGGAATTCGCCTCCTTTATGAGAAACGAAATGAATTGGACTTGAAAAGTCAAACCGCAAAAATCAAATTGGATCGTGACTAAATATCAAAACTTTTTCCTGAAAAAAAAATCATCATGACCTTTTATAAGTGACAATCACTTGGTTTTTTCTTTCAATGAAAGTATATTTTGAAATTGGTTAACAGGAAAAAACTTAAGTTCTCGATTAACAAACACGTTGTAACTTATATTTAAAAAATCACTGAGCACAGAATCGCGCCGCACTTAACGAACATAAGGAAAGACAGGCAAAAGAATCTTTGTAAACAATGAATAGCTGATGCCCCATAATATTTTCACAACTGCCCCAGAGCCCCTATCTGTCTACTACACACCAGCCAACAATAAAGCGAAGAAAACAAATGCTATCATAAGGCCACATACAATAGGAATTTGAGCAGAAATTGATAGTGGTCATTATTCTCGAGCACTAAATTGTACGAATTGGCTATATAGTATTAATAAATTAGGTAATTTCGACAACAGTTTTGCTCAAAAAAATGAAATCAAAAATTTTATACAGAGGCAAAGCTTGGCTTTACAAAAATTAACGAGAACACGACAAAAAGCAGCTCTATAATAAGAAAAAGTAGAAATAAGACCCCAAGAAATAAAAAAAATGGCAAGTTCTCGAATTCGATCTGCGACCTAGAGATTATCAGCATTACGCACTAACCACTCACGCTTAATACATCACAAACACTAGCCACAAATAAAGCAGAGAACAGATACGATGAAAGTTCCAACGCTACAGACCGTGATTATGGCAAAATTGCCACCAAATAGGTGAACACTTTCCACTTTCAATGAACACCTTTATTTGCGAGTTAGGTTAGAAAAAAGATGGTTAGTAAAAATACACCACGCTGATCGGTAACGTAAAAAGTAAAAAGTTTTGAAGCAAAATTTTTGCGCTTATAAAAAATTAATTGAAGTATAACTTTTTCACTGCTTATCTTGAATTACGAGATTAAGAATATAATACGCCTATTTTAAGACCTAATTTACTCCCTGGAAATATGACTAAAACTCAAAATATTCAAACTGGTTTTTCTTGACACCGATCAAATTTTACAAAAATTTCAAGTTGCTTCAATCACGAAATGCTTTCATATGATTTATCACTCACCTCATTCCTATAATTTTTGGATAATATGAAAAAAAACTGGAACACATCCGAAGAAAACGTAGGCACATGGCGGGGTCGTGGACAATAAAATGAACAAGCAAAATGTTAACTGTCTAAGAGTACCTTTATTTACTATGTAACGTTTAGCAATTCTATTACCATAAATGTCAAACCTTTTCTCTCCGATTCGATAACACTTCGTTCATCAGACCGAACATAAGTTTTAGCTCGATATTTAACACTTGCTTATCGAAAACCAGGAGAGTATCTCTGAGCATGCTTGTCAGCGGAATAACACCTTCACGCATCAGAAGTACAGAAATTTCTTAATGAAAAATTTAAACTTTTTGGCAGAATACCACTAACAAAACCACCAAGGGCAAGTAAACTTGACCGGAAAACCAGATGTTCACTTTCACTTACCATCATAGACTAATCTACTGGGCGTCTTCCCAAATAGTTACAAAAGACCACACGCAACCGAGCGTCTATTTAATTTCTGGATACACTTCCCTCTTACTATCAACAGCTTTAAGGGAGAATCCCATAGAAGCTGCCTAACGGGAGTTATTCTCGGTTATCCCCACGAACTAAGAACTGCCCACTCAAACCGGACATGAAGCTTCTCTCAATTCGCACACCGAAAAAACCTGGCCCCTAGAACCAACATAATTTATCACATTCAGACCTCTTTCTTCAGCGTGCTGTACAGGGAGGTGTCGACACATACACAAAGACGCTATCATTGGAACCGGCGGTTACCCGTCAACGATGGTTACCCTTCAACAAAATCGATCTCTCCCATCAATCTGACGTTCAAAACAGAGATCGGTGAAGCTGCAACAACAAATGCAAGCGTTATCAGATATTTGACATTAATAAGATCAAAATGAACAATTTTATAGATGTTTATATCACAAGTTATATAGCACTAAGTAGGAACTTACCTGTAATGTCGCGTCAGTTGATTTCTGTTCTTTGTCAATTTTCTTTTGAACTGCTGATATACCCAATGAACTCAGTGATCCAGACACTACCGATGTTTTCATTTTGTCAGTATTTTCAGGAATTTCCCATCTTCTTCGCTGTAACGCGTCAGTTATACAGCTGAGGAATATTTGTGAGCCAAAACTCGTGAACACCAATTTCAAAATCTTCGAATCCTAAAAATAAATTTCATTGGGCACAGCTGAACAACTATTTTCAAATTAAATTCACTTTGCTCTCACTTGTATAAATAAAAGACATAGCTTAGGATATCCATCTGCTGTCCTTGTTTTATCTTCAGTAACCGATTTGATCGCGCTTAAATCAGTAGATATGATTACAATACTGGCCATGTCTTTCCACAGGAGACGATGTGAAGTACAAATTAATGAACCATTAGAAAAATTGGTTTCTTTATCACTACCCGTTTCACACAAGTTAACACCGTGAGCTTCGCGTAAAAACTGCTCCGATCCATAAAGCGCTACAGATGGAACTTGATTGAACAACTCCATGTCACTCAACTAAAAGTATTACGATCAGATCAATCTAAATGGTCAAAACTTCATGCATCTGAATTTCCATAATTGGGAATAATTGTAAAATCGGATCTAGGCTGGACATCGCATATTAAACTTAGAAGAGGAAAAGCCCTCAGCACTCTATGCATGCTGAAGCGCAACCCACTGCCTCTTAATACCAAGACCAAACTTAATCTGTTCAAATCCATGGTAATTCCAGTTTTGCTATACGGCTCAGCGTGCTATCAATTGAACGTCGAAGAAATGAAACTCTTAGAAGGTGTTCAACGCAATGCATGCAAATGGATTGCAACAGATCCTAATTACAAAACGTCGCTTCAGCGTCTAGGAATACTGCCTTTACCCATGTACATTCAGCTCAATAATTTACTTCTACTATCTAAAATCCTCAATAATCACTACGACCTTTGACCGTTTTCCGCCAAATTTTTCTGACCGTTTTCCGCCAAAAAATGACCTAGCTAATACAAGATCTCGTTTATTTGAATGTACACGCCCTGCAAAATTTGTTTGCGAAAAAAATTTCTGGTTTCATGCAAAGAGGCTGGCTAATTTGGTTCCTCAAAAAGTGGACTTTACCAACACGATAGGACTCGAAGGACGGTTGCTGCAATGGATGTGGGAGCATTTCGAGAAAAGATTCGATGTCTCCAACCCCTGTAGCTGGAAAATTCTGTGCGACTGTACCCGAAACAACTGCAGAAATATGTCTAACTAACTTAACTGAAACTGTGGGGGAAACCCCTTGCGTACGCTAAATTCATATTATTATTATTATTTCAATTCTCTCCTTCTCGATTGATTGCACCAGTCGGATATTTATGTCACTTTCGATGTTAACTTTTCAAACCAACAGCTTATTTTAAAAATTCGGCGACAAAACCGGCCGGAGAAACTCAATGTTTCCTGATTTTATCAGAGCGTCGACAACATGACTACACTAGTGGAAAAAACTAAGCGTAAAATCAGGTTTTTTCCAAAATGCCTGTTTTCAAGGATGATCTGCGAAATTATCAAAATTTGGTTTCAAAGACTTGCCAGGTTTTTCCCATTACGAGGCCAAACTGTGCACTGGATAGGCGCACAATTTTGTGTCTGTATGATCCTGGATTCCAGAGACAAGCCTTTAAAAATGTTAAAACTTTGTCGGAACAATCAAACAAAATAAATGAGCAAGAGAAGATCAAAGGGAGAGTCCTTGTTGTGGAATCCACTTACAATTCACAAAATGCACAATTTGGTCACGTACTGCCGGGTCTGAATGCCAGTTTTCGCCATCTGCACTAAGTTTTGCATCAAAGTGAGCTCTTTCTCGAAAAAGCTGAGAAAAAATGTTGTTTATGCACGTGGAACATTCGAGGCGAAATTATTGAATTGATCAGTGTGACGAATGTACTCAACTCGGCTGTTTCCTTTAATTTTACGCGTTTTGAACAACGTGCAATTAGTGAAAAATGTCGTTTTCACACACAAAAACAACTGGTTGGAAACAAAATTGAGATAATTTCATAGAGATTTTTGAACACAGACATTTTAAAGAATAATACATGAAATTCCGCTGATATCTGTCCACCAGTGAAGAATACGTAGCAAGAAAACTGATCTCAAGTTTTTCGTGATGGAGACGCCCAAATTTGGAAAGCGATCAAGGAAATAAAAAATTTAAAACATTAAGAGTGAAAGGAACTTGAAAAATCCTGAGTCAACCCTAGCAGAGGTTTTTATGTTTCAGATTTTGTTCTGATGATGATTTTGCTCATCGAAAACGTTTCACATCATTAATGTTTTTCACTTATTAAATCTTGGAAGCTTGATCAAATCAGTAGGTCAGAAATTGCCGAGGTAACCGGAGTCCCTACACTCGCCAATCATTTCGAGTAAAAAGATTGTGCCATTTCATAAATAGGGAAGTGCAAACGAAATATAAGAAAAAAAAGTCAATTAAAATGGGCCCTTCCTTCATGCGACGGTACGTGCACAGGTTTGATAGGGACGTAACAACGCTATTTATGAATAAATCAAGTCGATTCTAATGCATCAAGAGAATTGTCAATTTAAAAATACCCTCCTCGATTACAGCACAGATAGAATTGTCTATGTTGGATGTATTTCTAAGATTTTTGCACCCCCTAAGGCAGAGGACTGCACTCCTCAGAAGCTTATTTTTGTTCTTATAAAGTTTAATGTGTCCGAGTATAATTCGTTTCGTTTTTCGCTTAGTTTCTCTGCTAGTTTCCGGACGGTTTTTGTAGAGCCTGGTGCTGCTCCTCCGGTACACGCAAAGATTAGAGGAAAAAAGCTGCTGTGTTCCACATCCAGAATTCTTTGTTGATATTTTAAGGTTTTGAAACTGTCATATTTGTAGCGGCCAGATTTAGTTTTGAGGCAGTATTTAGAATGGGAGTTGAAAATTTTTACATCGAAAAAGGTTCCGCTGAATCGGCCTCCCCTGAGTCCATTTGCCTTGATGTCAAGTCGGGCGTCATCTTCAGTAGTGGTTGTTTTCTTGTGAAAGATTCGCCGTCCAATGATTGTAACATTCGACCAGAATGTTGTAACATTCGCCTGGAAGTAAATATCAACGGAAAAAAAGCTAGGTTCTAAAACGACTGGCTAGCGTCTAAACACAGCTCTACATGCTTTTCACCGTCTCTACTAAAGCCAGTTCTTTTGGTGGTTTTCCTAACATCGGGTCGACAAAACGTTACTGCTTTCTGGCTTCGACCAGAACTCTCAAATTAACCTAATTATGTTTAAAATAGTGAGCTCATGGCTGGGTCTCAGTATAACCAGACCACGATGTCACTCCTAAAAATAGGGCTACTACTATTTTTTATATTACTATTGTTTTTGTTCAGTAGATGAAAATCATCATCTCCATCGAAGATGGATCAACCCTTTCCCTCACTCCTAGCTTCTCATTCTCTGAAAATGAATCTGGATGTTAATTAAATTCAACTCAGGACATGACCGGGAAGCTAAAAGTTTATATAGAACAGTTTGAGTTCCGGGGCCTGAGACCCCTCCGGATTCTAGAATCAGGGGAAATAGCACTCCTATTTCTTTCGGAAGGCTGGACGCGTCATCCCAACACCCTTCCTGGTTCTTGTGAATTGCTCGGTAATTTTGTAGCGACACAATCGTTACAACGCTGAGTGGCTTTTGACCATTTCTGACCACAATTTCAATCTTCTGCTGTTTTTTTCGTAATTGTCTCCGCTGCAATTATTGTTGTTGTGTTTCGCCGTTTCATTGTGTGCGAAATACAAAACGTTACATTACGTTCACGTCCAAATAGAAGTTTTAAAAATTAGCATGTCAGTTAAAACTAACCCTTCCCAATTTGTCTAATTGTTCAAGTGACGCTGCTAATCCATTAAAACTATCAATCTTCATGATTAGATGTTCTTTATTTTGATCGACAAAAAATCGATTGCAAAACTGCATTTTCATACACCCTGGTCGAATGTCACATACTTCTCGGACAGCCCGGTCGATGTCCTCATTGAGTCTCGTAGTCTTCATCGAAATGGTACAGTGCCATCGAACAGAATTTACAAAATGCATAAAATCACTTTTATCCACGTCATATCAAATCATTGCAGAATACAAATGGCATCACACCACACTACTATAGCTTCCAAATTTTTTCACGAATATGCATTTCGAGGATATGTCTTAGATAAATCATCGTTTTAGACTTCAAATGTCTAGGTCCCGATTTTAAAAATTTTTCTCCTAGGTTTAAAAAATGTAGGGATGCAGGACAGTCCTGCCAACCCACAAACTAAAATTACCCTTCTATGCTTCTTCCTATAGAAAATTTAGTTGTTACTGGTCCTAAATATTAAAATTAAAGAACTCGGTGGTTAGATGGAACAATGAAATAATCTCCCTTTTCAGGAGATCACCCAAGCTTTTCATATCACCACAAAGTGATCAGTCGTCTTAGTTGATTCAAAACAATCATGCAGGCTGGAATATTTCAATATACTATCCACTCAAGCCTCTCTAAATAAATAGTAGGGGTCTCTAAAACCACTAACTAAAATCATAATGCAAGTTTATAAATGCAACAAATTCTGTAATCTACATAACACAACTAAAGTTTTCTCTTCAGTTTCAATTGCAAATTTTTGTTTCCTTCTTTGTTCGTCGTTTATAAGTTCTAAAACTTCTAAATTCTTCTAAATTTTTTTCTTTTTGGTTCTTGTTTTTCGGCCATTTGTCAATGTTTCATCTTCTCCTCCTGCGACATTGACTCCGCCCTTTCAGTCTCTGTGTCTTGCAACACATCGGTAGCTAATCTGACGCTCTTGGAAGCAATCCTCCAACACTTCTGCTCTTCTACTCTTTGGTTACAACAAGGTAGAGGATCAACGTTGGATTCTTTGTTTTGGCAGAAGCTGTTGTGGAGGCACAACGTCACGTTTCTCTCCAAGTCTTCCTTCAACATCTCTTCTTTCTCCCTTCCGTCACATACACTTGTCCTAGAAGTTCTTTTACTTGCGGTGGTTACTGTATTGCTATGAGTTACAAAAGTTCGCTTCAAAGCTCCTGCTCCAATGTCCAGCTGATACGCACTGTACACTCTGCTGTGCTTCGACATATGCTTCATGGCATACTCGTACAACCATGCAGTCATGTTGGCTCTGAAACTTGGCATCAGTCGTCTTCTGGCCCATATCTTATACATCTCCATCGGAATGTTCAAGATTCTGCACAATGTCTCAAAAAGATCTAAATCTTTTAGACAATTCATTTCCTGTAACTTTTCTTTCGTTTGCGCCTCCTGTCTATTGTTCCCTTTTACATGAGCTTCCAGCCATCGTATCGCCATCATAACTCTTACTATCACTATCGTTATGGGCGGTGATGAATCTGGTAAACCCATGGAGAGCAGCTCTCCACAGTCCCTGATCAACACCAGATTACTACGCCCGGGGTACCACCATGGTTGTAGCAAGCAAGGGCATGGGAACTCATCATGCGTTGACATGATGCTCCTCCAA